ACGGAAGGCCGAGAGCGCCCCAGCCTCGTGGCAGGGATGTCCTGCTCTTTCTACAGAAGACTTGCCAGAAATCCACCACCTTCGCTCGAAACGGTTGGAATTCCTTCAACAGGCCACCAAGGGGCAAGAGTTACCCACTCCGGACCAAGATCATGGCTACCACAGCCTGGAGGAGGAACACAACCTGCTTAGGATGGATCTGAAACACTGCGGAGATAACCCAACACAGTTTGTTCCTCCTGCTGGAGCCGTTCCTGAGAACACTCAGGAGCCAACTGAGGAAAATGCAGAGTTGTTGACTGAAGAGGTTCTCCTGGCTTTGGACAAACAGAGCCATTTGGAAAGCCGCCTGACTTGTGATGTACCTGTGGAAAAAGATTTTGGAGAGGACCAACTAAGTGTAGTTGACCTTCCAGTTTCTGCAAGACCAGCTTGTAGTAACAAACTGATAGATTACATTTTGGGAGGTGCAGCCAGTGACCTGGACACAAGTTCTGATTCAGAAGGTGAGGATTGGGATGGGGAAGCTGAGGATGATGGTTTTGATAGTGATAGCTCACTGTCAGAATCAGATCTTGAGCAAGACTCCGAAGGGCATCACCTTTGGAACTCTTTCTACAGTGTAGATCCTTATAATCCCCAAAACTTTACAGCAACAATTCAGACTGCTGTCAGAAGTGTTCCTGGGGACTCCACGGACTCAGAGAAGAATTTGTCAGACAGGTCTGATCTAGAGCACTCTCCCCAGACTGGAAGCCTTCCTGAGACCCCTGACCAAAGTTCTGAGGAGGAAGATGACTGGGAATCTAGTGCAGATGAAGCAGAGAGTCTCAAACTGTGGAACTCTTTCTGTAATTCCGATGACCCCTACAACCTTCTAAATTTTAAGGCTCCTTTTCAAACATCAGGGAGAACTTGGAAAAGCTGTCTTGACCCAGAGAGACTGTCTGAGTCCATTGTGCCCATTTCCGAGTGTCACACCTTACTTTCTTGTAAGGTGCAACTATCAGGGAGCCAAGAAAGTGGATGTTCTCACTTGGTACAGCCTGAGGTTCTTTCTGGAGAAAGACACATGCATATCAAGAGGAAAAAGGTTTGTTTCTTTCCTTTCTACATGCCTGGTAGTTTGTTCTGACTGTTTAGATATGGTAAAGTGTAGCAGCATGACTTTTGAGGGCATGGTAGTGCTTTTTTGAGGAAGACTTCTAAGCTCTTGTACTTGAATAAAAAAATGTTCAAATGATCCTTCCTCTTCTCCCCTAAGCTCCTTCTCCATGCAGAACATTGTTCTGTTCGTGATCCCTATCCAAAACAGATGCCAGTGTATAGGTGTTAGCAGGAAAGTGCCATTTTCATTGGGGTTGGTAACTCTGGACTCAACTTCTTTTACTCGAATAGAGAAATGTTCAAATGATCTTTCCTCTCCTCTAAGCCCCTTCCCCATGTAAGACATTGTTCCTTTTGTCATCCCTATCCAAAACAAAGATACCAGTGTATAGCAGGAAAGTGCCATTTTCATTAGGGTTGGTAACTTCGGGCTTATTCTTTACCTGCTTCAACTTTTTCTCCGGGGAACAGAAATATTACAGTTCAGGTATTCATGATTTTTTTTGGGAAGAGTTTTGGAGTGTTTTTAAGTGTGATATGTTGTTTGCAAATACTTAGTAATTTGCATAACAACAGTGTTTTTATTCCTGTTCATTGGAACCCTAAGGGATGGTAATACCAAGAAACAAGTCAGATTTACATAGTTGTTTGCCATGAACAAAAATACAAATTTTAGTATCAAAAACTTTATGACATTAGATGATTTTGATTGGTGGGCAGAAACAATACAGAGATTGGCTCTCTTAAGAATGCAGTACTGCTGGTTAATAATCAATCATAGTAGGCAGTGATGGTTAGTATTAAAATTCATGGAGCATTTTACTCTGGGTAGCCTTACTTTGAGAGTCTTGAATCATTTTCCTTCATTGTTTATTCAGCTAGAGTTATTGTTAATAATTGGAAAGAAATCCCCCTTTCTTTTCTTGGAACACTAGCGTATCTTTTATTTTAGCAGGAAAGTTTCTTAAGTTTCCCATACCCTATTTGGAAAGAGAAAGAGGTGGGTGAGTTATTACTGGCCTCAGATTCTGCAGTCTTGGGGAGTCTGAAGTGGACAGTACCATGACCTATTGGCTAAAGGGCAGGTTTAATACTTTCAAACTATTCCTGGAGTAGAGAGTATCTCTAAATAGTGATAATCTTATGTCTTATTGTAGAAGCAGATAAGTCATGTTAAAAATGAAATTATATCACTGTAAATGCCATGATATAAGAGCTTTTCTTTCTTCTTCTAAGAGCCCTCTAACAAAATGAGTGAATAGGTGAGAAACAAAGTGGGGCAGTGGCCTGCACACACAGCGTCTGGAGACTTGTGTTCTGTACTCCTGAGTGGTTAGGGCCAAGAGATTTGGGAAGACAGCCAGACCTGGGAAGTTACCTGACTCTTATGGCCTTGATTCACTCGTTTAACTGATGAGAATAATAATAATACCGATTATACAAGTTATTGCAAGGTTTGAATGAGATCAGTGGATAAAACTCATAATTATTTTTATTTTTTTAAAGCAATTACTTTATTGAACTTTATTTTACTGGTTTTTAAATTTCAATTTGACCAGAGAGGGACAGAGTGAGTGAGAGAGAGAGAGGTAAAGAGAAAGCAAGCCGCCAGGTCTGGGACTCAAACCATGGTCTGCCCTGTGGGAGTCTAGCACCCTTCACTACACCACCTGCAGACCCTGTCTTGCTTTTAAATAGTAGCTCTTACTGTTCAGGGGCCTCAGGCCAATCTCATGTCATTTTTAGCTTGCTTCGTTGAGTAAAATAGAAGAAAGTGAAGTAGATGTGAGGCTATTGAGCATGAGCCAGAAGCAAAGCTTAACAAAAGATTATGTCTAAATATGGTGGAATTATTTGACAGCCTATGATTACCTGCTGTTCTTTAGATATATGGGAATAATGGACAGGGTCTGATTCTTAGAGTGAGGCCTTCCAGTCTAGTACGTTATGCCATGACATCACATAGTGCAGATTGTAGAGCCAGACTCAGTGTTTGAAAAAACCCTGTGTGTTATTATTTATCTTAGTGACACAACAAGGACTAGAATGCAATATCTAGTAAGGTGTTACATTCCTACTAATTGTCCTCAGGGGCATTCTTTGGCCTGATGAAAAGGGAATGAAAGTGGGGGAGGTCACAGTGGAATTAGCTGATGTAACTATTGAACATATTGATACCTTTAAAGGAAGTACTTTTGGAGTTTAATATTTTAGTTAGGAACTTCTTTATTAGAAATTAAGTAGAGAGTAAGTAGGAATTTGGTGGTGATGAGTAGGAATTGTCACTTGTTACATTTCATGTACATTTTAATATACATGTAATGTATATTAAATAATTAGGTATATTTTATACATTGTACATAAATACACAATTCATATATATGATAGCATATGCATACAGAGATTTTTTAAATTGTAACTACAAAGTCTCTTGCAGTAATACAGCTTTAAACATAGGGACTTGCTGTAGTTTGTTTATTAAGTAATGTTCTATATTCTATTTACAAAAGTAACAATATAAAAATAATACTGTATGTTAATTCAAAATTGGAAAGCACTAAAAAGTGGGAATTTTTAGAAAAGGCAGGGTAGAAATAAAAACACTGTTAAAAGTCCTTGTGCTGTGGTGGGGCCGGCACGTGGCGTGGTGGTTCAAGATGCTGGACTCCCACATGGCTGACCTCGCTTTGAGTCCCAGACCTGGCAGCTTGCTTTCTCCCTCCCTCTCTCTCACTCTCTCTCCCTCTCTCTCTGTCTCACTCTCTCTCACTCTCTCACTCTCACTCTATTCCTCACTCTATCCCCCTGTGGTCAAATAAAAATAAATAAATGGATAAAGATAAATAAAATGATTTTTATAAAAGTCTTCGTGCTATGATAAAAACTTGACTTTTGGGGGATACAGTAGTTACTTTCTGAAATATTTTGTTTATGTTTTGGGGGAAGAAAATCACAGAATTGTTATTTCTCTTAAAGACTGAAAATAGCAGGGATTAATTAACAGCAGAAAAGTTTTAGTTCCCCACCTGGATTAATTTTATTAACACCAAAAGCCAAGGGCTGGGTTTGGGGGTAGTGTGTGTGGGAATATGTACTTGTGAAGTATTCAGGAGGCGTTGGCCCACTGTTATTCAGATGCCATCTGGTCAGAACTTCTTTCTTTTACAATTTCAGATACACTTTGAGCCAAATAATCCTGTAAGATACTAGATATTTTGAAAAAAATTAATATAATTAAGGTTATTGACCTTGGTATTAATTGTAAGAGCCTAGAACATTATTAAAATTTATCTTTGTCTTTATAGGTAACTTTTCTTGAAGAAGTTACTGAGTATTATATAAGTGACGATGAGGATCGCAAAGGACCATGGGAAGAATTTGCAAGGGACGCGTGCAGGTTCCAGAAAAGAATTCAAGAAACAGAAGATGCTATTGGATATTGCTTGACATTTGAGCACAGAGAAAAAATGTTTAACAGAATCCAGGAAACATGCTTCAGAGGACTTAACATTTTGGAGCAATGTTAAGAAGAGTTGACAGTCTGTAGCCCTAGCATATGCTACCTCTTACTTAAGGGGTTTCTTTTGAAAACAATACTGGCAGCTGTCCTTTGGGTCTCTTGTATTTGTTTGTTTTTAAGAAGAAATATAACATGGTCCAGTGATCTAGTTTAATTTTTTTGCAACATGTCTACTCAGAAAACATTCCAGTTTGAACCCATGCTTTATGATGAAAGATGAGATAGTGTGGCTTCTAATCTTCTTTTATTTAGTTGGATGTGTTTTTAAATGTTCATTGCTTGCTTGAGGTGAAAGGGGGACCGGCCTTTTGAGTTGTACTTTTGCACTTTCAAACCTTATTTTTTTGGGAAACAATATTGATAGGGCTTAAAGCCCGTTTTCAGTTCTAATTTAAAATAATATGTACCTGTCTAAAAACTCCCCTCCCCCCAACATTCTGAAGTTAATGGGTTTGTATGTTTTTTCTTTTTTATTTCAGTGATTTGGCCCATCTTCTTTAAGGCAAAATATATAATCTTGTATGTGCTATCAGTGCAAAGCACATCAATCACATTGTGTCACTTTTTTCTTTGACTTCGGTTGAAAATTTATGTGGATTTTTATTTCTCTGTTAGGTTCTACTGAAGATATTTTCAAAGACTGCCACAAAGCCCACATGTGCAGTACTCCCTGCGACTTCAGGAAAGCTGCATCTTTCTGCCAAATTTTTCATCTTAATACTTGTGCAAATTATTCTTTGGAGAGGGTTCCGTATCTGGTATTGTATTAATAATTTCCTGTCGAATGTGTTTCTTTCAATGGGCAGGAATTGTAAACCATTCTACAAAGTAACAATTGTGTCATAGGCGTTTATTTTTTAAATTTAAAATCCTAGAATTTTTCTAGAAAGAAGATGGGAGACATTTCAAAGTAATTTGGTTTTGTCATGTATGCTCTCAAAACCAGTGTTATTACTATCATGCCTCAGCACTGTCACTTTTAAAACCTGTCAGGGTGACACTAAATTTGGAAATGGGCAGTGCTCAATTTTCATGTTGCAAATGTAAAATAGAAACTTGAGTGAGCTTAATGCGTTCTGTTGTTTTCATAGTGAGAGAAGTAATAGGAAGGCTTATACTTTCAGGAAAGGATAGAACTATAGATTTAACAATTAGAAAGTCTTAATATCTTTACCTCAAAGTTTACTTTGGAGTGGAAGTCGTTGCATTGACTGGTTTTGCATGGTTTATTTAGTTAACTTTATAGGAAGGAATGTTAACTGTCTCTAATAGTCTCTTGACTCTCCTACCACCTGTTACAGGTAATAGAAAACAAGTCAAATAGATGACTTCTTAATTTTGAACTTATTTTTTTAGTGTGGAGATTAATTTTTCAACAGAAGTTTGCTTGTAAGGTTACTACCTCAGTTTATTAATCTACCTGGTCATTATTTTATTTCTATCTGGTTTGCTCTAAGAACTGCCTCTAGAGAGAGTGTGTGTGTGTGTGTGTATGTATACACACATACATATGTGCTCATACATGCAGTGCGAGTGCAACAGCATAAAAGTTGGTCAGATTTTTGTAGAGTCCTTATTTTGTGTTTTGTACACCTCCACCTTAGGTAATCATAGGGAATACATTTAGAAGGTCTGGCTCAATATGGTGAAATTGTGGCAGTTGGACAGCTGCCATCTTTGCCTTGCAAAAAGCTTTTTTTTTCACTATGTGTAGGCATTCTTTTAAAACCAGACTGAGGCATACTATCATATTTCAGACACCTAGGCTGTATTTTGTGTTTCTGAAATCTAACACTTAACGCATTTAAAAAAATAATGGGACATCATTCGTTGGATATTGGAAAATCGTTCCTTTGGGGTTCCTTGCTACCAAATGAGTGAAAGCTTGGTTAAGAATTCCATATATTTAGTAGAATTCCGTATACTACCCTGCTTTAGAAGAAGTGTTGATGAAGTGATAAAAAGGACAGAAGGGGCCATTTTTAAATCAGACCGAAAGAAAAAATAAAATCGTTAGTTTCTTCCTACTCCTGATTGTTAGAACAGTTAAACCCCACACTCTTAACAAGAAAAGGCTTAGAGGTTTCATGAAAGGTTTTACACATTTGAAGTCTTATAATGGTGCTTTAAGAGTCAATGTAGCATGAGAAAGACTTTGTACAGACAGGTGAAAATTCTACTTCTGAGTGAGGACATGTGATGACGCCTCTTTAACTTGAAATCAGAACTATCAGATTTTTTATTTTTTTATAATTTACAGAAGGTGAAGTTAGGGGGCTAGATGTCTAAATTGGCTTCTAAAGATCCATTTATTTAAATGTAACCATTTTGTTGGGATTTTATAGCTAAAATTATATTTGTGTATATAACTTAACTAATCTGTAAATTGTAATAAATATATTTGCAATTATTAAATGTTGCATATTTTGGTTCAGCTTTATATTATATGCTTCATAGTATTTTAAATTGATTTTGGAATTAACCGAGCAAAATGTTCAGGATTAAACTAGGTATTTTTGTAGAAGCATTACAGATTCAGAGATGTTAGACAAATTTCTGTGGTTTAAAAAGGTAACATATAAATTGCACCTCAGCTAATTAAAGGGGAGGGATAGTAAGGAGATAAATACTATAATTTAAGCCATATTTTAGTAACAGGAGAATTTGCTTCTTAGAGCCTGAAATTCCTTCTAAGAGATTGAAGATTTGATTCTAAAATTAGCCACAGTCACCCAATTGTGTTGCAGAGAAAACAATAAAACAGTAATGTACATTCCTGGACTAGGAAGAAAGAAACATGCAGTTGCCATTAGTTGATGTTTAATATAAATTGATTGACAGCCCCAGGCTGTAATTTTTCCATTTTGGGGTTAATTTAAGCAATTTTAGCATTGTAGCCACATTCACATTAAGGCAGATTTATTGCTGAGCTTATCCTGATATCCTTATAGAAATTGTTATTTTTCTTTTCTGCTTTAATTAAGTTTAATGGAAATATTTAATTGCTAGCCTCAATTTTTTTTTTTTTTTGAGAGGTTTTTGCTATAGGGCGCGTGTGCCCGCTAGAGAGAGACAGAAAGTGAGAAATCATCCCTCGGGGGGATGGCCACGCCACAGTCCCTTCTCCATTCTCCTCTCGGGATCTTGGGTGCGTGCACACACACGTGTGCTCGCCTGGCATGAGTTTAAGTCACCAGGTCCAGGATTTGAACCGGAGTCGACTACATGGGAGTTCAGTGACATAGCCATTAACGCTAACTGCTGGTCCCGCTAGCCTCGATTTTTGATAGTTATACATAGATTTGGAAATTAGGTGATCTCTAGCATATTCTCATTTGGAGACTTCTTTGGACTCAAGCTTTTTAAATATCTTCATTTTTTAAGAAATGCATGTTATCTCTAAAAGTAATATAGAAATACATAGGTGTTCTTGATACTTATTAAAAATTTTTTATCTTGAGGACCAGCAGGTGGCATGGTGGTTAAGGTGCTGGACACTCCCACATGGCAGACCACGGTTCCAGTCCCGGACTTGGTGGCTTGCTTTCTCCCTTTCCCTCTCTCTCTGTGTCTTTCTCTAGTCAAATTAAAATGAATGAATAAAATTAATTAAAAGGGAACCAGCAGTTAGCGTAATGACTGTGTCGCTGGACTCCCACATAGTCAACCGTGGTTCGCGCCCCAGACCCAGTGGCTTAAAACTCACGCCGTGCGCATGTGCGTGCGTGCCCAAGATCCCGAGAGGAGAATGGAGGAGAAGGGATTG